GTGCCTGGGTCCCTGTTCCCTGTTCCCCGTGTGGGAGACCTGAATTGAGATCCAGGCTCCTTGTTGCAGCCTGACCTGGCCCTGGCTGTTGGAGAGCATTTGGAAGGGGAACCAGTAGATGGAAGGTCTCTTTGTGTCTATGTCTCTTTTTTCAGTCTGCTTTTCAAATAAGTAAAATAATTTTTTAAAATGGAGGGGATTTATATACAGCTCCCATCTGTGTGCTCTTTTGGGCTGTTCATAAATTTGCTTCCAAACAGCCCTGTGGCCAAGGCATTTGCCATGACCGTGCGAGCTTAGAGTTACTAGGAGTCTTCAGCGGGCCTCACTCCACCATCTCCTTCAGGTCTCTTGTTCAGGGGCTGCCATTCCTGTGAGCTTTACCCTGACCCCACCCTTTTGAGGATTGCACACCACTTGCCTTCCATTCATTCCTGCCTTCCCTTTTCCTGTTTGTTCAGTGGCACATGCTCCTTCTGACACTGTGACTGTTCTACCCTGTATCATTTGTCTGCTGATTGATTTTGCTGCTTATTGTGTGTCCTCCGTTAGAGTACAGGAAGGCCAACACTTCTGTCACTTTGTATATCCACAGTGGGAGGAGTAAATATTGCCTGCCACAGAGTGGATAATAAATACACATAGAACCTTGGCAAAAGCAGCTACTTTTTAGATTTCTACAAGTAACATGACAGATTCTCATTGCCAGTGGTGGTTTTGTTCATTGACTGATTGTGGGCATGACAAATTCATCAGTAAGTATGTTAAGAAATTAGTGCATGAATTGCATTCCATACAGTTTTCTGGAACCTCCTTGCTTATTTGGCAGTAAGCAAGGAATTCCAATTTAGATGGAAAAAAATTAAATTAAGCACATATTGTCAGTGAAGGGGAACAAATCCTTTAAAGATGAAACCTGGAGAGCTAAATGATGACGAGTACATGCAGACCTGGACCCCTGGCTGGCTTGTATAACTGGTTGAAAGGTTTTCATTGTCAACACCGTGGCCAGAAGGTCAGGTTTCAGGGTTTCTGGTCCTGAGGTGGTATAGGAGGGCGAGAGAGGGAGGAGGGGAGCCAGGATCTTTCCTGTGCATGGAGGTCGAACGTGCTTCAGCAGAGTCTGCCAGATGGGACGGTGTGTTTCTCATAACCTAAGCCTTTTCAGAGAGCCTAAAACATGAGACACAGGGGCTTGCTTAACAAAGATAGCATCTGTAATATTCTGGCGTTTTGTTTGGCTAAGCTGGTTGGAGTCTCCTATTAGGTTTTAGGGTATTAGGTAAGTTAAAATGTTCATTTTTATGTTTTAAACATGTATCTGGCTTTCATGGTTCAAGGAAAATATAGATGCTGACTTTGACAGTTGAAGGAAAATAAGGGTGATAGGTAGTATCTTAGAAAGATGTTCAGGGGCTGGCACTTTAGCACAGTGGGTAAAGCTGCCATTTGTGATGCCAGCATCCCATATGGACACTGGTTCCTATCCAGGCTGTACCACTTCCCATCCAGCTCCCTGCTGATGCCCAAAGTTTGGGCCCCTGCCATCCTCCTGGGAGGCCCAGGGGAAGCTCCTGGCTCCTGGCTTTGGCCTGGTTCAGCCCTGGCTGTTGTGGCCATCTGGGGAGTGAACCAGTGGATGGAAGGTGTCTTTGTGTAACTCTGACTTTCAAATAAATAAGTCAGCTTTGCTTTTTTTTTTTTTTTTTTTTTTTTTTTTTTTACAGGCAGAGTGGACAGTGAGAGAGAGAGAGAAAGGTCTTCCTTTGGCCGTTGGTTCACCCTCCAATGGCCGCCACAGCCGGCGCGCTGCTGCTGGCGCACCGTACTGATCCGAAGGCAGGAGCCAGGTGCTTCTCCTGGTCTCCCATGGGGTGCAGGGCCCAAGCACTTGGGCCATCCTCCACTGCACTCCCGGGCCACAGCAGAGAGCTGGCCTGGAAGAGGGGCAACCGGGACAGAATCCAGTGCCCTGACCGGGACTAGAACCCGGTGTGCCGGCGCCGCAAGGCGGAGAATTAGCCTAGTGAGCCGTGGCGCCGGCCACAAATAAGTAAGTCTTAAAAAAAAAAAAAGAATGATGTTAAAACTTAGAAAGTACTTTGGAATCAGATATGCTAATTTTTCATGAGCTTAATCCCAAGGTTAGAAGATGGGCATAACGTCGCACAGCTAGTTAATGGCAGAATTAGGACTAATTTTTGTTACTAATTTTCACTGAAATATCCTTAATAGGATAGAAACAGCTAAATCTCTCATTATAACCTAATGAGCAATTATGAATTTGTTTTGTGATCTGTATTTTATCTTAAAACTTTCAAAAAGTCATGGAAATACTTTATCATATATAAATTATTTGTATCTTTCTCTTTATGTGTATCAGCATCTATATTTTTTAGTATTGTGAAAATATACATATTTGAGGAATTATCAGTTGAAAGGTTATAAAATGAACACAATGAGAGATTCGTTTATGGTTTCAAAAGTGTTGAAAAGTCAGAGCTGTAAAGAAAATTGCAGTAGGGAAATTCATCTACTTGACATATCTGGAAGTTAAATGTTTTTGGAGGTTAATTATAGTGCAGTAAAATTAGAAACATATTTTAAACCTGAACTTGAGGAAAAATTAGTTTTTGCTATTCAAACATTCTATGTGAAGGGAGTATGACATTATATTTTGTATCTTTTTGCTAGATGTACTGGTTTTAGAAGCCACCAGTTTTGAAACAGAAAAAAGATCTGTATATACCTTTTTCCTGAGGATAACATGAGACCATGCTTGTGTAGAGAAAGCCTACCCCTCCTGCATCTGGGGACACACTAAAGGCTCTGCTTCTTTACCTTTTGTGTAAATGGTTTCTTTTGCAAAGCACAGATATTTATCAAGCAACTGATTCATAACAAATATAGTTTTTATTATAAAGATTTATATATTTATTTGCAAGTCAGAGTTACACAGAGAGAAGGGAGAGAGAGACAGACAGAGGAGTTAGTCTTCCATCCACAGGTTCATTCCCCAATTGGTTCGCAACAGCTGGAGCTATGTTGATCCGAAGCCAGGAGCCAGGAGCTTCTTCTGGGTCTCCCCTGCAGGTGCAGGGGCCCTAAGGACCTGGTCCATCTTCTGCTGCTTCCCAGGTCATAGCAGAGAGCTGGATTGGAAGTAGAGCAGCCGGGTCTTGAACCGGTGCCCATATGGGCATTAATAGCCCAGGGCATTAACTCGCTGAGCCATAGTGCTGGCCCCACAAATATAGTTATTATTAGAAATTTGATAATTTGTAGTAGAACACTGGGCTGGTCATAGGGAGGTCTTGACTTAAATCTGTGAAGTAAGGGCATTGCAGTGGTAGTAGGGTATTGGGGTCTTTGGGCTCTAAAAGCTGATGGGTTGTATTTGTTCATGATATGCTTTCTGCTTCTATAAAGATACTTTCTCAAATTCGTGCGTAGAAATGGTGTGTTTCTTTAAGAGTTTTACTTATCTGTTTTATTTGAAAGGCAGAGAGGAAGAAGGACATTTTCTAAAAATTCAGATGTACAAATAGTATTTTTTTTAAATGGAGGGGTCGAGGGCAAAGTTGGAGAAGAGGAAGGAAGAGAGAGAGGGAGAAACAGAGCTCCCATCCACTGGTTCATTCCTCTAATGCCTGCAAGGACTAGGGCTTTGTCAGGGCAGAGCAGGCAACTCAGTTTTGCCTCCTGTGTGGGTGGCAGGAGTCCAACTGCTTGAGCCATCGCTGCTGCCCGTCAGGGTGTGCGTTGGTAGTGAAACTGGGGCTTGAACTCAGATATGAGATATGGATGTCCCAGGTGGTGTCTGAACCACTAGGCCAAATGCCTGCCCCAAGTGTGTTTTGCAGTTTTCAGCGTCTCTGTGAGAATATCTTGGAGGCAGTGCCTTTCACTGTTGCCTGGTGTCATGAATTTTCCTGTGTGACTACCAAGGAGAGGAAGTCACTACCAAGGAGGGAGCACTTGCTGGTGGCCACTGGAGGGGCCCTTTTTCTACTAAGCAAGGGGGACCATACAGGCCTTCTAGCTTTCTGGGAAAGAGCCTTCTGAGAAGTGAGGAATGTGTAGGTCGGGGTTGGAGTCAGAGGAGCTGGACAGGTGCTCTCCGGAGCTGTTTGCCACTTGGAGTCCGTATGTTGTTGTTGGAAGCAACTGATTGAATTTTTATTGCCTTGTTATGGTTAGGCATTGTCTATGTGTGATTGTGTGACCATCCTCCCATACTGCACACATGCTGTTGTATGTTGTTTCTCAGTTAAGTCTGTGTTACACAAGCTAGTTTACTAGCTCTAGGTGGAGATGCAGAAATACACTACAGAATTACTGGATTCGTATCTTATTCTGGCAGTTGTATGTTTAGAAGTTCAAATATGGTGTCTGTTGGCAGATGGTGAGTGCTGTGTGGGTGGGGGAGAGGTGCAACTGAGTAAGGTAACTGGGCAGGAAGCCCCTGTTCCACATTTCAGTTGCTCCCGGGGTGTATTGCCTAGAAGATTAGTTTGTCATTTTTGAGAAATCAACAGCTCCAAAGTCGGAGATAACTTTAAAGTCGGTGAATTATTTTGTGATTTAGCTCTCATTATTTTTCATGTGCTTTGGATTTGAAGTTTTGAAAACCTTGGCAGTTTGCTCAAATGTGGTTTAGAAAGAATAAGCCAGAGGTTCCATTACAGACGTACTTTGAAGAACACATTCATTCCTCTTTGATTTCACTAAGGTGTGGCAGTGTCAGAGCAGATGGAAGGCTGGAGTTTGAGCTGAAGTTGTGTAGAAAACTAAACAGCTGATTGGCTGACTCCTAATGGTGAGACAGGAAGAACCACCCACGTTTTCCATTTTGGATTTGAGTCACAGAAAACAGGTTTCCTGCAGAAACCATGTGGCTCTAACAAGTGTTGGGAAATTGCAGCTTTGATAAGATTGATGTTTTTATCTTCATTGTGCATGTATTTGAAATTAATTAGTTTCCTCTTCTCAATCCATAGGTGAAATTTCAAATTTGAATCTCGTGAAGTGCTGACTGTAACCTGATTTCCAAGATTTTTATAAAGAGAAGACTCAAAAGAACTCTACTTTCAGGTAAGGGTCTAATTATTTTGTCTTAATAATAACACAGCTACTTGGGCAGAAGTAGTTGTGTAGACTTCTAGAGTAGAAGTTTAGGTAAATTAACAAAAAGGTGGACAGTTAAATTCTCCAGGCTGATATCCATCTGTTTGGTTGTTAGCTAAGAGTTATCAATGGGGTTAGCTACTTAAGACAACTGGAGAAATATTTAATGGCAGTCATAACACACAGACACACATGCAAAACATGTAAAACTGGTTTAGAAAACTATTTCAGGTCATACTTCTATTACCTACCACCACTATCTTGTAACTGATTGAGTAACCTGTTGTCCATCCACCCACCCATCTGTTCAAAGCTTAAATAAAGACCTGGATAGTTTTAAGAATAATTTCTCTGTTGCTGTGGCATACCATCCAAAATACTGTAATAATTTAGGCGTGAAAAAACCATAGAAAAAAATTAGAAGTCAACAATAATTTGAAATTTTCAGGACTAGTAATTTAGAAATGAGTTTTTCTTAGGAGGAAAGAGAAGTGTGCCCAGTGAAAACAGGGCTCTTCTCTACCTGCTCTACATTACATAGAAAACCTGCTCAGTAGGGATTGTCGTAGTGTTCCTGGGTATAAGTGAAAGCATGCTTCAGAGATGCAATGGCGTATTTGCTTTTTCAGTAGTTAGGGAATTTGCCTAATTGTTTGTGAGGTGTTGAGTCACTTGTTAAGTAGTTTTTGTACATCTTCAGGATGGCAACTTTGCAGGTTTGAAATATGTAAAAGTTAATTTTAACTTATTGATATGCTTTGAAGAATGACTGTGGCAACTGAATGATCCAAAAGTCACTTTTTAGGAATGTGCTAGGATTCCTGTAGCAGATTCCATTTCCTATTAAGTTGCCAGATAGCAGGTATTAGTTTGAAAACGTCAGTGTAGCAGTAGATAACATCCCAGTAGAGAGAAACTGGCTGGGATTTATAACAAACTACAGAAACTGTGTGGCCCTCATTTCTTCCCCCTTTACCTGCGAGCAGGTATAAATACACCTTCTGGGTTACCCCTCTTGCTCTTGCTCCCGGCTTGAAACTCCTAGGAACTTCACCATGTTACCTAAGTGGTGGTTCTCAAGCCTTTTGGTCTCAGAAACTCTTTATATTATTAAACACGGTTGCAGACTGCAGAGGGCTTTTGTTTTTCTCTGTTATAGCCATCACTATTTAATATATTGGCAATTAAAATGAAAAAAAAATTAGACATAAGAATATAAAGCACACAGTATCTTAGAGGCAAGTGGGGACACCATCATATCTTGTACTCTGGAAGACACACACTTGAGAGAAAGAGAGTGAAAATGACCAATAACATTATTTTTGAAAATTAAATTTGAAGTATAATTTCTATACAGTGAAACTCTACCCATTTTAGTATATGGTTTGTGGTGGATTTTGATAAACGCGTGTGACTGTGTAATCACAATGAAGCTAAAGATTTCCAGCCCCTTATAGTGTTTCCCAGGCCCAGCCCCCTCTGACCTATTTGCTGTCCTTACAGTTTTGCCTTTTTCTGAAAGTCCTATGGGTGGAATCATAAGTACGTATGCAGCCTTTTGCGTCTGAATTATTTGTGTGAGTGTAATACATTGTTGTATATCATTGCGTTGCTTTTCATGACTGAGTCCTGTTCCAATGTATGTACATTCTGCAGTTGATGCACTTACCAGCTTATTTGCGGTTTCTGGTGGTTATGTGTCTTAGTATTTTGTTACGATAGTTTTGACCTTGCAGATTCCTCAGAGGGGTCTCTATGAGAATCTCTGGCCTACAGCCACATCTCTGCTGTGTTCCAGCCATCCTGTGTGTTGTGCCCTCTGTCTAGAATGCCAGGAGCTGTCCCAGGAGTCTCCTGTACAAGCCTTTCTAGCTCCTCTTTCATCATCACCCCTAGGCACTTTCAGGCCCGAAGGCGACTATTGGTCACCACTGCTGTTGTGCTACTGCTTAGCTTTCCCCACCACTCAACAGTTTCTAAAAGACCTGGTTTCCGGCTTCTGGGAGCAGTGCCTCCTCTCTGTCCTGGCTGAGCAGTTGCATGGCACGCAGAAAACTTACTACATGTTTGAATGAATAATAATTCTTTTGTAAGGAATTTTATTGTTTATAAGTAGCTTTCCCATATAGTAAAGGTCTTCAAAAAGTCTGTAGAGAAATGGACTGAGAGATAATTATGATGCAAATGAAATTGGAGCCATACAGTTTTTCTTATAATATGCATTTTCTATACACTTCTGTAAAATCCCTCATATTCTTGCATTCAGTGCTCTAGTATGTAGTGCAAATAATTTTAACCATCTTTTATTTAAATTTTTATCAGATAAGGCGATTAAGTCCTAAGCTGTGATCTTGAGCCAAGTAGCACATTAGAATAACCTGTGGAACTTTTAATAAATGCATTGATGGCTCAGAACAATTAAGTCCTAATCTCTAGAGGCCAGGCCTTGGTATAAGTATTTATTAACTAGTTAATTAATTAATTTCATTTGAAAGGCAGACAGGCACACACAGAGAGACAGAAAGAGACAGAGAACACCCGTTGGTTTACTTCCCATATGCCTGCAGCAGCTGGGACTAGTCTAGCTCAACCCAGGAGTCCCACGTCGGTGGCAGGGACTCAAGGCAGCCCCTGCTGCCCCTCAGGTTGCGCATTAGCAGAAAGCTGGAATCAAGAGCAGAGCTGAGACTAGAACCCAGGTACTCTGATACTGGATTCAAATGGTGTCTTAACTGCTGCACCAAATACCTACTCTTTCTTTTCTTTTTTTAAAAAGATTTATTTATTTATTTGAAAGACAGAATTATAGAGAGGCAGAGAGAGAGAGAGAGGTCTTCCATCCACTAGTTCACTCCCCAAATGGCCACAGTGGCTGGAGCTGCGCCAATCCAAAGCCAGGAGCCAGAAGCTTCCTCTGGGTCTCCAACACAGATGCAGGGGGAAGGCCCAAGGACGTGAGCCATCTCCTGCTGCTTTCCCAGGCCACAGCAAAGAGCTGGATCCAAAGTGCAGTAGCTGGGACTCAAATTGGTGCCCATATGGGCATTACAGGTGATAGCTTTACCTGCTACGCTGCAGCGCCAGCCGCTGCCTCTATTATTGTTCAAAAGCATCACTGTTGGGACAGAGTTGTGGTGTAGAGGGCAGAGCTGCCACCTGCAATCCCAGCTAACCATATGGGTGCTGGTTTGTGACCCAGCTGCCCCACTTTTTTTTTTTTTTTAAGACTTATTTATTTATTTGAGAGGCAGAGTTACAGAGAGCGAGCGAGAGAGACAGCGATAGAGGTCTTTGATCCACTGGTTGACTACCCAAATGGCTGTAATGGGTAGAATTGGGCCCATCTGAAGCTAGAAGCCAGGAGCTTCATCTAGGTCTCCCACATGTGTGGCAGGGGCCCAAGCACTTGGGCCATCCTCTGCTGCCCTCCCAGGTGCATTAAGCAGGGAGCTGAATTAGAAGTGGAGCAGCTGGGACTCAAACCATCCCCCATTTGGGATAGCTTTACCTGCTATGCCACAACACTAGCCCCTGCTCTGCTTCTGATCCTGCTCCCTGATGGTGGCCTGGTAAAAGCAGCATCAGGTAGCCCTAGTGCTTGGGCCCCTGTTACCCACATGGTAGATCTGGATGCAGGTCCTGGCTCCTGGCTTCAGCCTGGACCATCTCCAGTCATTGTGGCCATCTGGCGGGTGGACCAGTGGATGGAAGATCAATCTCTGTTTCTCTCTCTCCCCCTTCCTTCCTTTTCCTCTCTCCGTAACTCTTTCAAATAAATAAATAAATCTTTTTTAAAAAAAGCATCACTATTGAATCTGTAATCAGCCACAGAGACTGGTTTTTGTGGAGCTTGATTGGCCATCAGGTCTTGGTGGTATGCCTTTTCTCTACATTGTGAACAGAAGCACTGTAGAAATTTAGAGCCTTGGTGTATATGCCATTGTTTTTGATTTGTGGGGGTAGCCTAGTATAGAAACCAGAACACTATAGATTTATAGTCAGGGCATCATGTTTCCAGGTTGGATTTGCATTCATTAACTGTGGATTAATAATAATAGCTACTCAAGTCTATTTTCACTTTTCTTCCCTAAAGATTTATTTATTTGGAATTCAGAGTTACAGAGAGAGGGGGAGATCTTCCATCAGCTGATCCACTCCCCAGATGGTCACAACAGCCAGGGATAGGCCAGGCTGAAGCCAGGAACCAGGGGCTTCTTCCAGTTCTCTCTTTTGGGTGCAGGGGCCTAACCACTTGGGACATATTCTGCTGTTTTCTCAGGCACATTAGTGGGGAGTTGGATCAGAAGTGGAGCAGCTGCACCAACTGGAATCCACTTGGGATGCTAGTTTTGCAAATGGTAGCTTTACCTGCCATGCCACAACATTGGTCTCTGGTCTAACTTATAACCTCACTGGCAGAGTGGACAGTGAGAGAGAGAGACAGAGAGAAAGGTCTTCCTTTTTTGCCATTGGTTCACCCTCCAATGGCCGCCGCGGCCGGCGCGCTGTGGCCCATGCACCATGCTGATCCGATGGCAGGAGCCAGGTGCTTCTCCTGGTCTCCCATGTGGGTGCAGGGCCCAAGGACCTGGGCCATCCTCCACTGCACTCCCGGGCCATAGCAGAGAACTGGCCTGGAAGAGGGGCAACCGGGACAGAATCCGGTGCCCCGACCGGGACTAGAACCCGGTGTGCCGGCGCCGCAAGGCGGAGGATTAGCCTATTGAGCCATGGCGCCAGCCAAATGTGTCTTTTTTTAAGATTTTTTTTTTTTTTGTTTACTTATTTGAAAGAGTTACAAAAAGAGGAGGAAGAGGAGGAGAGAGAGGGAAAGAGAAAGAGAAAGAAAGAAAGAAGGAAAGAAGGAAAGATACCTTCCTGCTGGTTCACTCCCTAAATGGCTGCAGCGGCTGGGACTGGGTCAGTCCAAAGCTAGGAGCTCGGAGCTTCCTCTGGGTCTCCCACAT